TATCTTCTTGGGCCTACTGACCAAAGCGTAGAAAGACTTTGTTCTTCTCCCTCTCCAGGTTGAGCTGGTCCACCTTCAGCAAAGGCTCAAACTCCTTCCTGTTAATGTAGTTTAAAATCTCCTGCACGCACAGACACAAAAGAGCCATCACCACCCAGCTTAGGTGTCATCCAGTTTCACTGCATTCTGTGTACATCTGTGTGTGTTCTACCTGTATGTCCATATCCAGCCTGTAGTTGAGGTCTCCCAGCCAGAAAAGGTGTGTAAAGCGAAGTGAGATGTCAAAGGAGCTCAGCTGTTTGTCTCCTAGTGAAAGCAGCCGTAGGATATCAAGGTAGTTCTGGTTCCTCCTGTAGGAGTCAAAGTTTGCATGTATCACATATAACAAGCGTTAAAAGAATAATGTGTGTGTGTGTGTGTGTGTTGTGTATGAAGTAATAGTATGTCATCAAAAGCCAAAAGGAAAGAACATTTGAGTCTGTCCCCACAAAGTCAAGGTTACAAAGGTACAGGACACTGAAATAAAATGTCTGTGTTGTGAAAATGAACACCAACAAATTCCTCACAGTGAGAGCCACAGACGATGTGTGTGTGTGTGTGTGTGTGTTGGACAGTGGTAGGTACCTGGCAATCTTCTCATTTCCTGATGTTAAGTGACAATTCACAAAACCAAAAGATGTCCCGTTGAACATGAATGACACACCCACAGCACCTTTGTTACCTGAACAACCATCAAAATAAACATATAAATTGAATCTATCACAAAAATAGATAAAACGATAATCTCTTTAACTGCCTGTTTTTTTAATTTAAGAAAGAATTCAGTAGAAAAGGATTGAGCACTGTTGTTACCCAGTGTGTTGGCGATGCCTGTCTTGACACTGGACATTCCCACGTGGCTGATGCGGTTCTCATGTTCAGCTTTCACCAGCACAGCAATCTTTATGTTCCACAGCGTCTGCACTGCGATCTATAAACAGGACCAGCAACAGACAGTGAGGAACCCACTGTCATCATTTCTGCATTCACACTGCACACAAACACCCCACCCACCCACACGAACACGACAAATACATTTGGTAGATGTGAGGAAGCACAAATAACACTAATGTAATCTAGGAATGTGCCATTTAACATAACATTTATAATCTCACTTTACATTTGGTTTCCACCTTCCTCACCGGTTTATAATCCAGTTCGGTCTGTTCTTTCAACATGGCACGTAGTGACTCGACCCACTCCCGATCACATACAGAGTTTTCTTGGGTTCCAAACACATAAAGGTCATGAGGGATGGTGACCGTCATCTCGTCTAGAGTCTTCCCAAGGCCACGACACAACACCCATGACGTCACAGACTTAGGTGGAGGCACTGAGCCTATAATCAAAGGCCAAAATGGTACATTGTCACGAAAAATACTAATGTCTCGCAGTTTTCAACATAGAGTATTAAAATACTGTATATGAGAAGTCAGTACATGTTGTTATTAATGTAGATTACATGAAATAATGTGTGTGTGTGTGTGTGTGTGGACGTGTTTTTCCTGCTACGTGGGGACTTCTTCCTGACTCCATACCAACTCATGAGGACCCATTTCACGGTGGGGACCTAAACTGAGGTCCCCATGGGCAAGAAATTGAATTTTAGGGTGGCAACATGGTTTAGGGTTAGGATGAGGTTAGGGTTAGGTTAAGGTTAGGGTCAGGGTTAGGCAAGTAGTGGTTCTGGTTAAGGTTAGTCTACAGGAAATGCATGTAAAGTCCCCATGGACTACGAAACATAAACTGTGTGTGTATGTGTGTGTGTGTGTGTCTTACCCATATTCCAGGTGCCTATGAAGATGGAAATCATGTCTGGCTCATCCTGATTGGAATGTTTGTTCTTCATCAGCTGCAGCAGCTGGCAAAATGCCTCCCGCTTCTGAAACACACCAACATTAGTGAATGGAAGTTGCCACAGAAGGGCACCTTGTTTTTAAGCAGCAGGACTTAAAAACTAACTAACAGTCAAAGTGTGTGTAAGTATGTATACAGAGAATGGAAGAGTGGAAACTGAATTGATAGAAGAGATCTGTGTATGATCTGTGCCACAAATCGTGACCCTGTTAGTGTCCTCTATCCGATTATAAATATACAAATAAAAGAGACATATGTATTTCCTTAGTCAGTTTGGATGTGTGTGATATTTGCAGGTATAGGTTTTTGTTTGTGCTGCTTTCCTGCATCTAGAAACTGTGATTGAAACGATGTGTGTCCAGACCTTGGCACTAGCAAAGATAAAGTCTCTCCTCTGGCTCTTGTCCTTCTCCTTCTCAAAAACTATACCCAGCTTATTCTGCACTCGCTGTGACTTGATCAGCTGGCGGACTGAGAGACAGGAGACAGACAAATAGACAGAAAGTCAGAGATAGAGGCAGGAAGAAAAGCAAGGCCAAGGAACAGATTGCGAGGGTTAAATAAGGTTAAGGAAGGAAAACGAAAAATGGGGAAAAAGACAATTGTATTAACCAAAAATATGCCATTAAATCATTGTTCTTTTTTAATTCAACTGTGACTCAAAGAGATAGAATCAGGATGATTAAAAAGCGTGGATCCCAGTTAAATAAAATGAATGCCTACAGTCATGTGAAAAAATTAGGACACCCTTTGAAAGCATGTGTATTTTGTAACATGTTTTAATATATGGTTATTTAATCTCAATTTTAACAATACAGAGAGATTAAAGTAATACAACTAAACAAGTAAAACTGAAGAAAAGTCTTTTCAAGATCTTCTGTAAATGTAATTCTACAAAAATGCCTATTCCAACTGAGGAAAAAGTTAGCACACCCTAGCCCCTAATAGCTAGTGTTACCTCCTTTGGCTGAAATAACTGCAGTGAGACGGTTCTTGTAGCCATCTAATAGTCTCTGACATCGGTCTGAGGGAATTTTATCCCACTCCTCAATGCAGAATTGTTTCAGCTGTGAGATGTTTGAGGGGTTTCTTGCATGTACAGCCCTTTTCAAGTCACCCCACAGCATCTCAATGGGATTCAGGTCTGGACTTTGACTCTGCCATTCCAGGACTCTCCATTTCTTCTTTTTCAGCCAGTCTTTGGTTGATTTACTAGTATGTTTTGGGTCATTGTCATGTTGCATGGTCCAGTTCCGCTTCAGCTTTAATTTTCTAACCGATGGTCTCACATGTTCTTCAAGCACCTTCTGATACACAGTAGAATTCATGGTGGATTCTATGATGGTGAGCTGACCAGGTCCTGCTGCAGCGAAGCAGCCCCAAACCATGACACTTCCACCTCCATGCTTCACAGTTGGTATGAGGTTCTTTTCCTGGAATGCTGTGTTTGGTTTACGCCAAACATGTCCTCTGCTCTGGTGTCCAAATAATTCAATTTTGGACTCATCTGTCCAACGAACATTATTCCAGAAGTCCTGGTCTTTGTCAACATTCTCTCTGGCAAATGTCAGTCTGGCCTTGATGTTTCTCTTAGAGAGCAAAGGTTTCCTCCTTGCACACCTCCCATGCAAGTTAAACTTGTGCAGTCTCTTTCTGATTGTAGAGGCATGCACTTCTACATCAACAGTAGCCAGAGCCTGCTGTAGGTTTCGAGGTGATATTTTAGGGTTTTTGGAGACCTCTTTTAGCATCTTGCGGTCTGCTCTTGGTGTGAACTTGCTGGGGCGACCAGACCTGGGCATGTTGGCAGTTGTTTTGAAAGCCCTCCACTTGTAGACTATCTTCCGGACAGTGGAATGGCTGATTTCAAAATCTTTTGAGATCTTTTTAAATCCTTTACCAGACTCATAGGCTGCTACAATGTTTTTTCTGAAGGCCTCTGACAGCTCTTTTGCTCTCACCATGGTGCTCACTCTCACTTCAACAGTCAGGAGCACACCAAACTAAATGTTTGAGGTTTAGATGGGGCAAGCCTCATTCAAAATGCTGAGTAACGATCTACTAATTATATGCACCTGGTGTGATATACCTGTGTGTGATTTGAGCCATTTTAAGAGGGCATACATGTGAGGGTGTGCTATCTTTTTCCTCAGTTAGAATAGGCATTTTTGTAGAATTACATTTACAGAAGATCTTGAAAAGACTTTTCTTCAGTTTTACTTGTTTAGTTGTATTACTTTAATCTCTCTGTATTGTTAAAATTGAGATTAAATAACCATATATTAAAACATGTTACAAAATACACATGCTTTCAAAGGGTGTCCTACTTTTTTCACATGACTGTAACTATAAAGCCCAGTCCCATTTTGACTGCTTTCGTGGTAGGATACAGCTTAAAGCGGCACACTGTGGGTTACAGTGTTTTGTAGCAGAGACAAGCCCCTTCACCTAAAGACCAGCTCCACTAATATCACAAAAAACTAAGTAGACTCATGAAATAAGATATTAACTGTCCATAAAAAGAAAAGTGGCACTACTCAACACACTTATCTCACATTTGAGAAAACACTGGGGTTATTGTGCATGGAGCACTTGCATGTTGCTTACTTTTGTCATGTGTGAAGGTGGTCCAGTCCTCCTGGCTGTCCTTCACTTTCTTCATCACTACCAGTCGTCCCCCCTCCACATCCACAGACAGAGTGTACTTCTGACTCTTTCCTATCTTTGTCAGCTCGGCTAGGTAGACATCCAGCTTTACCTGTAGTGGATCGGAAGACACACATACACACTTACACACTTACAGAGACTAGGAGTGCTTGTAGTGCAAAGTGCGTGTGGATATCTCATTTCAAACTTTATCAAACCTTCGCACCACTAGAGGTCTCTAAGGTGCAAGGAGTGGACTCCTCAGCTCGCTCGCCCCCTGTTGTTATCACATACACAACAAGTTCACTAGTTCTGTGGCACCAAGTGTGTCAAATCTAAGTGAGTTATATCTGCAGATGGCAGAACTAGGGGAAAAAAAGAAAAAGCTGGAATGGCCAAATTCTCTGAACTGTAGAAAGCAGTTCACAAATTTCTGATCATAAATATCTCTGTGACAAAATGGACCTTTTTTCTTGCAGTAAGAGATACAATAATGTCTGAGGAAAAAATAAATGACGCTCTTTGAGTCATACATGTAAACACCACCAGGTCTGTTTGTGTGTCTGTTAGTGAATCGTGTACCACAAACTCTTCTCCTCAGCATTTCAACACTTTTGTTCCTGTGCAACAGGAAGCTGCTGAGAGGACGTTGCCACTGAGAGCACAGACCTGGCTGACAGCTACTAATTCAAATCTTCCATTTCTTCTTCCTCCTGTTTTACCTCCTTCCCCGTGTGCTTACATTGACATTTATCTTTTTTCCCTTCATCTTGTTCACCTGAAATCTCCATTTAATCTGTTTTCATTCATATTTTTCAAAACAAATTCTCCCTCAATCTTCAACACAGCCTCATGCTTGTGTTTACAAGTAATACTGTCCTTACACTTTCACAATAAAACTGTAGAATTATAAAACCACTATACAAAATGTAGTTATACTCATTTGGTATGTCTGAGACTATGATACCAAGAGTGATAAATACCATATAGTATGACAAAGCCACTGATGATGCAGCAGGAAATCCATTGCAAGCATTCCTTTGGTACTACATCAGCTCTGCTGGCAAACCCTCTGCAGTATCTTGAGAAATACATGGCTTCTTAGTCTGCAAAACTAAACCACTGTTTCTTGATTATAGTAGAACTTAAGTAAAAAAAAAAAAACTTTCAGCATCATCACTGCTGCACTAATAAAGTGTGTGGGTGATATATGTGCATATGTACATGTCTGTGCACACCTACCTGTGACGCATGGAGAGAGGAATTGGGGAGCATGGAGAGGTCAAACTCATGTCCTGAAGAGCTTTCAGAGCCTGAAGGGGGAAAAAACGAGAAGGAGACGGAAGGGGGGGAACAATTAGTACACAAAAGACGGAAAAAATGAAAGAGAGAAAGCAAAAAAGAGAGAGAGAGAGAAACACAAACTGTATTGTTTTCAGCTTCATTGTTAATGTCAACAAGGAAACAGTTTCCCATTTCCCGAATGTGATCTAACAGAGGGCAGCACGGTGGCACAGTGGTTAGCGCCGTTGCCTCACAGCGAGAAGGTTCCGGGTTCGGGCCCCACCTGGGACCTTTCTGTGTGGAGTTTGCATGTTCTCCCCGTGCTTGCGTGGGTTCTCTCCGGGTGCTCCGGCTTCCTCCCACTGACCAAAGACATGCAGCTTAGGTTGATTGGTGTCTCTAAATTGCCCATAGGAGTGCGTGCGTGTATGTGTGGTTGTTCGTCTATGTGTTAGCCCTGCGATGGATTGGCGACCTGTCCAGGATGTACCACGCCTTCGCCCGATTGCCGGCCGGGATTGGCTCCGGCCCCACCCGTGACCCCGTTCAGGGACTAAGCGGTAGAAAATGAATGAATGAATGAACTTTGCATACACCATATATGAAACAGCAATGATTAAAGCCACTATTAGTAGAATTTGTATATGACTGTTAACAAAATGTATGATGCATATTTACTCTCTGGGCAGTTTCTGGGCTTAAATAAGTGTGTTAGAAAAACTGTAGCTGCATTGTGTATACAATGTATGAAGCCTGTGTCCGTACTGTCTGTCAGGCTCAGCGTGGAGGCTGCTGGCTGGTCCGCAGTGCCGAGCGCTGCCCACGGGTTCAGTATGTTTTCTTTGCTCTTCAGGTAGAAATCCACCGTGTCCAGTTGACGGTTCTTCAGGCCAGCCTGCCAAAACACAAACCAACTTCACTGAGTCACCCAGATGTTATGGTGAAAATTTTTTAACTAAAATCCAAAATCAGAAGAAGCTGGGACAGTAAGTAAAATCTAAATTAAAACTGAAAGTAGCGATGTGTAAATCATCTGGGTCCTGTATTACATTGAAAACAATACAGCAGCACATTATTTGATGTGATACCTCATCAGATTGATTTTTTGTCAAAATAAACTCACTTCAATCCTGATGCCTGCAACACAAAAAAGTTGGGACAGTAAAGCGTTTACCACAATGTGATGCTGCCGTTCCTTTTCACAACACTTAAAAGACTTTTAGGGAGTGAGGACTCCAAGTGACTCAGTGTGTCAGGTGTTTTGCTGAAAAAATGTAGAAGAAATCATCTGGATGTGGGTAGAAGACATTTCACCTCTCATCCAAGAGGCTTCATCAGTTCTGATGAACGTCTTCTACCTAAAACTACATCCAGATGATTTCTTCTACATTTTTTCAGCATACTACGACCTGGATGACTGAGAATTTGCACAAACAGGTGTCATTTTGTCCCATTCTTCCTGCAAACAACGCATTCTGTACTGGGGACAGGTGGGGACTGCAGGCAGCCGGTCCAGCATTCACACCCTTTTCCTCCACAGCCAGGACTTGGTAATGTGCAGCTTGAGGTTTGCATCGTCTTGTTCAAATCTACATGGACGTCCCTGGAAAAGACGTCATCTTGACGGCAGCATGTGTTGTTCCAACATCTCTCTGTATGTTTCAGCATTAATGGAGCCATCAGAGAAGTGGAAGTGACCTTTGTCCAGGGCGCTGACATGACCCCAGACCATGACAGACCCTGGCTTTTGGACTTGATGCTGCTAACAGTCTGGATGGTCCTTTTCACCTTTGGAGCACACGGTGTCCATTCCTTCCAAAAAGACCTGAAACAGTGATTGGTCTGACCACAGTGCACGTTTCCACTGTGTGATGGTCCATCCCAGATGCCTCTGAGCCCAGAGTAGTCGACTTCTGGACACTGTTGACACAGGGCTTCCTTTTGACACAGCACAGGTTTAAGCAGCATTTATGGATGTAACTACATATTGTAGTGGCTGACACAGGTGAGCCAACGTCATCCTGAGCCCATGTGGTTATATCACTTATAGCAGAGTGACGATTCTTGATGCGGCGCTGTCTGAGGGATCAGAGAGCTTGGTCATCCAGCTCAGGCTCAGCCCTTTATGCGCTGAAATCCCTCCAGATTCCTTAAATTTTTTAATGATGTTCGGCACCGTAAAGGGCGACAGATCCAAATCCTTCTTATATTTCTTTGTTGAACATTGTTTTTGAACATTTCAATGATTTTCTCACACATATCTTGTCAAACTGGTGGTCCTCGGCCCATCTTTGCTCCCAAAGGGCTTGGCCTTTCCTGGATGCCACCATTGTACCAAGTCATGATGCAGTCACCTGTTGACATCAGCTGGTTCAAATGGAATCATCATTTCATTGTTTTACCTCATTACTGGCCCTGAAATGCAGCTGAACCAACTTTTGTTGGAATGTGCTGCAACATCAGGATTGAAATGAGAGTTTATTTTGAACAAAGAATAAAACTGATGAGGTATCACATCAAATAATGTGCTGCTGTGTTGTGTTCAATGTCATACAGGACGCGGATGATTTACATATCACTGTTTTCAGTTTTAATTTTACACACTGGCCCAACGTTTCATGATTTGGGATTGTATAAGTCATCCCGCCACAGTCTCCACTGTAAAGGTGACTGTTGGCTCTCACCTGGAGGGCGTGGATGGGGATGGAGCAGCGCCCCCAGCTGTTCAGGTGACAGACTGCATCTACTGTTGCTGCACTGCCAAACAACATCAAACTGCTGAGCAAGTCCTGCTGGGAAACTGAGAACAACAGCTGGAACACACCGTCCTCTGGAGAGAGAAAGAGATATGTGAAGAGGAAGTCTGTTTCTTTCAAACACAGCTAGGCAAACACAACAGCCAGATAACTGCAGCCTCATACACTCATGTCTGCTTTTGTTTTTGTTTCTTCTTACATGTTTTATTCTAATTTTAGAAGTTCAATCGGTTATGGAGATATTTTGTTCCAATCTCTTAAAATGCTGTGACGCCAGAGAAACATGAGCAGTACGTTACAACACACTGTAAACCAAGCACCAGTTTTACCTGACTTAACCTCAAAAAGGAAACGAGGTCAAAGGACATTACAGTGGTTTATATCACATCTACAACAAAGATCAACATCACTAATGGCTGATCATGTTTCATCTACTTCTACTGCCTCCTGAGGGGAACCCCAAGGCTCTACCACAAACCCCGTTTTATTATCATCATATGTTTCCACTGGGCTCTGCCTGGAAAAAATTCAATGTTCATTACCACTGCTATGCAGAAGACATGCAGGTCCCACTGAAACCAAGTAACACTCAATCTTCAGTTTCTCATGAGCTGGCGTAAGGATGTTAAATATTGGAAGGCTAAAAATTCCCTTCAGCTAAAGTTTTGATTGATGGATTAAGTCAACGTCTGGCTCAAGTCTAAGTTACAACTACTGAGGTGGTGTACAAGCAGAATTCCTATGAAATGAGGAACTGCATCCAACATGTCACATCCATTCACTTTCAGTTTCACCTTCAGTTTCAGTAAATGGCTTAGATAACCACTGATTTAGAGCTGAAAGAGCTCTGTTTACAGCCTGTCTGTCAGTTTGGCAGTCCTACCTGGTCCAAACTGTAATCAAACAGTATTTTCATTAAGTGGATGTTACACTGAAGACATGTCTGAGTCTGACTTACTCTTCAGCAGCAGTCTGTGCTGTCTCTTTACACAGCACTGAACAACGGCCGCTTCGCCCTCCACCTGGTCGTAGCTCACATTCCCAGACTCCAAATCCCAAAAGGCCACTGTGGTCTGTCTGTTGCCAGCGCAGACAAAGGTCAGCAGGGCAGAGAACTCGGAGACAGTGAGCAGAGACAGAGTGGATGACTCGGGGACAGAGAACGAGACAGTCATTCCGCCGCAAGGAACTCTGCTGTGGGTCAAGGATGGAGCCCGGGGGAACTGGAGGAGGGGAAGGGAGGAGGACCAGGATGTCCCCACAGGCTGGCTGGAGGAGGCATAATGAGCTGGAGCCTGCTGGACTCTGTTGTACATGGAGGCCAGACGAGCTTCCCAGGAGCTGCAGGTGAAGTTAGAGGTCAGAGGTCAGAGGTCAGGATCAAATGTTACAGGTGAAACTAAGGTCAACTAAGAAGACTGTGAACCAGTTACATTACATAACTAAAAATCACATTGACTATTCAACCATTTATTTGTGCTAATGTGGTGCTTGTTCGTTTTGTATTGAAAAGAGAAGACTAATAAGAGGATATATATTTCTCAATGTGAAATTTATTATGCATTAACGTATCAAAATTAGCATGTGCCCATGGATCTCCACTGTTTAGGATAAACAGGAAAGACTGTCCTCAACTGGTTGGTATACAATATTTGTATGAAAAGGTGCTACTATCTTGATTGGTCCAAAATTGTTGGGGAGAAGCTGTGGTTTAGACTTAACTCTCCCGTCATTGGTCCCCCATTCTGGTCCGATCTCGTCCCTGGCGCGACCTTGTCCTGAAATAGACACTTTGCACAACCCGCAACGCTTCTTAGTATCTTATCAAACCTCAACTCCCCTGGCTTCAAG